ACAACTAGTCCAGGTTAAATTAGAGTTCTGCTTATGCTAGATCCTAGTTGGATCAGTGGCACAGTGAAAATACTCAGAAAACCTTTGTCCCTTAGAGCACATAGCACTGTACAGAGTCCATGATAAAATAGTAGATTCCTCCCCCAATAAGCATGTTGTAATGATGTTTTTGATGTAATGTGTCATCAAGTCAGCTTTGACTTATGGCAACCCACTGTATGAAAGCTCTCAAAGAACATCCTATCATCTATAGCTCTGCTCAGGTCTTGCAAACTCAGTTTGGTGGGGGGTTTTTTAGAATCAATCTATCGGTAATGCAGTCTTTCTCTTTTGCTACTGTCTTCCACTTTACTGAGCATTATTGTCTTTTTCAATGAGTTCTATCATCTCATGATATGACCAAAGTATGATATCCTCAGTTTAAGTCATTTGGCTTCTAGTGAACGATCAGGTTTGATTTGCTCTCTGATCAATTTATTAGGTTTGTTTGTTTTGTTGGCCCTGGTATATGTAAAGTTCTCCTCCAGCATCACTATTAGTTTTCTTCACTGTCCAACTTTCACATTTGTACATAGAAAATGGAAATAGTATGGCCTCAATGATTCTGACTTTGGTACGCTATGAAATATCTTTATGCTTCAGGGTCTTATCTAATTCATCCATAGTTCTCATTCCTAGTCTTAATATTCTCCTGATCTCTTCATTCTACAGGGATTTAGATTGTACCCAAGGACTTTGCAATCTATATATAGAGCAGGGTGGACAACAGTAGCCCTTGAAATGCCCATAATTCCTCACCATGCTTATGCTGGCTAACGCTGATAGGAGTTGTAGTTCCAACAACATCTAGATGAATGCAGTTCAGTGATGGCTGATGGATCTCGTGTCTTTGAAATGCCCAGTCTGCTCTGGATTTTAGTTCACACTTTAAAGGAGATATCCAAGGTAATGGACCTATTTTGGAGATATGATCCCATGTCTTTGCAGTGCCCAATCTTTGTCCCTGGTTTTAATTCATACTTTAAGGGAGATATCCAAGGCAATGAACTTATTTTGGAGATATGATTCAGCTCCTCCAGTAGTTCCTTTAAAGTTCATAACCAATAAATCAGTAGACTTGGTAAATAGACTTAATAACTTGGTAAATGAGCTTACTTAAAGCAAAAATATTGGCCCTAGCATTAGCATAGTGAGGAGTTAGACTAGGACAGAGATCCTGGATGGGGAGATGAAGAATAACATTTGGTCCTTTTTCTCCATTTGCTTCTCAGCCCTAGACTATTTTAAGCCCAGAGAGGACTTTTTTTACAAGAGGAAATGACACAGTAGTCAACTTTCTGTTCACATGGAAGTTGCTAGAAAAAAGGTGCCCCCAGTCATACAATGGATGGGGCTAAGCAAAAAGGACAAAATTGCCCCATTTGTGGCTAATTTTTTTCTTTTTTTTAAAAAAAATTATTAAATAAAAAAAGTTCACAACACCCAATACATTCATCAACAATAAAAATTATACTATACATGTCATACAACATGGTTGTTCTTTGTCTCACTTTTTTATAATTTATACTAAAGTTACATTTATTCAAATCATTCTATGACATAATATAGCATTACATTATTATAGTTATCACAGCTAATAAGCATCAAACATTCCTCCTTCCAATCTTACATCCAATTTAATTTAATTTCTTCTGATATTTCCTTTCTTCTCTTCCTCCCATTCTCCTTTCCCACTTTCCTTTCTAATACCTTCTACTAATTTCCTTTCCAAATTCCTTTCCTTACTTCACTTCTTCCTTTCCACTCTCTCTACCCTATACTTTCCTCTTTCACTCCTCTATCCGTGCCTCCTCTTTCTACTTCTCTTAGTGGGTATTTTTTTCAAAAAAATATTTTGATGACCCAGGGGGGCCTTGGGGGACACAAAAAAGTCCACAGGCCACACTTTCTCCACCTCTGGGGTAAAGGACATAGGCAGACTTTACTGTGTTACCACCAGCCCTGTTCTCCACAAGCTACTACTTAATGGCCATGTAGAGGGCCCACAGGATAAAGATAAGTGTGGGTGAAGGTTGTTATGCAAGAAAGATAGAGAATACCTTCCTCTACAACAACCAAAAAGAAACCTAAAGACATACAGGGGTATAGTTTGGACTTGCATGTTTGTACTAATACAAAAATCAGCATCATCCAGGCCATAGTATTTTGAGTATCTATGTATAGGTGTTAAAGCTGGATAGTAACAAAACCTGACATGAAGAAAAAGAACTCATCTGAAATATGGTGCTGGGGGAAGGTTCTTTGGACAGCACAGACTGCTAAAAAGACAAATAAATGGGTTCTAGGGCAAATCAAGCTGGAACTCTCCCTAGAAGCCAATATGACAAAACACAGGCTGTCATAACTTGGACATATCATGAGATGACATGACTTGCTGGGAAGATGATAATGCTTGGCTAAGTAGAAAGTAGTAGCAAAAGAGGGAGACTGCAAGACAGATGGATATACTCAATCAAGGAAGCCATGGCCCTGAGTCTGTAAGACCTGAATAGGGCAGTGATGATTGCCATGATTTTGGAGATCTCTCATTCATACGGTCACCATAAGTCAAAATTGACTTGACTGCACATAACAGCAACTACATTAACATAGTGCCAGCTTGGGTTGGAACTCAGGTGGTCCTCCAGAAACTGTTGGACTGAAAACCTCAGCAGCTGTGTCCATGCTGAGGAATACTGGGAGTTGCAGCTCAACATCTGGAGGACTACACTATCCCCTTCCTTATCTTTATACCATGGGATCCAGACAGGTCTCACCTTAGATGTATTTGCACTTGAAGCAAAAAAAAAAAAAAATCAAAATAATTCCCCCATCACATCCATAGTACACAATAAAAGTTGAGTATCCCTTATCTGAAATGCTTTGGGCCAAAATTGTTTTGGATTTCAGATTTATTTATTTATTTGGATTTTGGAATACCTGTATTTGCATATATGTACACAATGAGATATCTTGGAGGTGGGACCCAAGTCTAAACACAAAATTAATTTATGTTTCATATACACCTTATTTACACACATAGCCTGAAGATAATTTTATACAATATTTTTAATAATTTTGAGCATGAAACAAAGTCTGTGTACACTGAACCAACAGAAAGCAAAGGTTTCACTATCTCAGCCACCCCAGAAAAAAATGTTGTTTTCTTATTTCGGATTTCAGCAGTCCTCATAAGGGAGACTCAACCTGTAATAGTATCCCCATCAACACACATTAATTCCTCGGTCAATTCAGAAGGATTTTTGCTGTCAGTGTGTAATCCCCAAGACAAAGAAGCATGATGAAATTATCAAAAAAACCCAAAAACCCACTAGCTTTTATTTAAAGAAGTCTTAATCACTCTCCTTTACCAGATTTTTCCTTTTTAAAAAAGCACCTTATATTCTCTGTTCTTACTGTAGACTTCAGGATCAGTAACTGTGCTCTAGATAGTTCCATTAAAAGCCCCTCTATGGAGGAGATATTTTCAGCTTTTTATTTCCCAGCAAAGTTTGGTTTTGGGTTTGTTTGCCCATGTCAGTGCATTCAAACAAAAGCCTAATAGTACCTTCATGCCTCCGTTTCTCCTAAAAGGATGTCTCTTGCTCACAGTGCATTTGCAATAAAGTAGCTTAGCTGGACTTTAAAATCTGACAGCACAAACCAGAACAGTTTTTTAAGCAGCTCTGTCACACAAGTGGTGCGGTTACTTTTAAGCCAGTGCATAAATGTATAATGTAATTCTCCACAAGATATTCTTTTAGCACTAGGTTTCCTGACTGGTGGACACAAATATGATGTTCCTAATCCCAAATGAGGTAACTCAGACAATATAATCAATGGGATTTTTTTCTCTAGTTTTAGCCTTCTGTTTCCAAAATCTGTAGAGGGCTCATCACTATGAAGACTGAGACTATCAGGGAACTAAAACCTCCAGAATTTCTCAGCCAGCATGGGGATCTGGGAGTTGTCTTAATGTCAAGGGCTGGCATCTTTTGCCAGGTCAGGTGCAGAATCATAGAGTTGGAAAAGACCACAAGGGCCATCTAGTTCAACCCCTTATCATATAGGAATACTCAATAAAATTAGTCCTGAAAGATTCCCATCCAAACTCTGTTTAAAGACCTCCAAAGGTAACCTAATCCACTGATGAACAGCTCTTACAGTAACAAAGTTCTTCCTAATGTTTAGCTGGAATCTCTTTTCTTGCAATTTGAATCCATTGGTCTGGCTCCATCTTCCACATGACACCCTTTCAGACATTTAAAGATTAAATGTCAACTCTTGGTCTTCTTTGCTCCAGGCTAAACATACTCAGCTCCCTCACTTATTCCTCACAAGGCTTGATTTCCAGACTGGATTGAGAGCTGAAGTTTGTTTCAAAGTGAAGCTCACATGAGCTAGGGCAACATCCTTCACTTCATCTCAAGCTAGCTGGCAGAGGGCAGCCCATGTTGAACAAAGAAACTGAGGTTCAGTTTCAAGGAAAAGGAGTATAACTTTACAGTCACTTCGTTGTGTGATGACTGCATATTAGTGAACTACAGCATTGCACAAATGAATGTGCAAACACATGTGAAATGCATGATTGCAATGCTCAGTGCGCATTCTTTCATGTGCATACAACATACAACTCTGCTTCACAACCAAGTATGCATTTGTATAAAGTTCCCAACCACTACTGTAGATGAACTTACAGATGCGTAAGTCCCTAACAGGATGCCAGCTAGCAACATAAACTGTCTTATAATGAACTAAATGAGATCCATTTAAATCACTAAAGTCTATTCTGACTGGCAGCAGCTTTCCAGCATTGTTGTTGCGTGCCTTCAAGTTGTTTCTGGCGTATGATCACCTATCACAGGGTTTTCTTGGCAAGATTTGTTCAGAGCAGGGCTGCCTTTGCTTTCTTCTGAGGCTGAGAGTGTGTGACTAACCCAACGTTGCTCAGTGAGTTTCCATGGCTGAGCTGAGATTTGAACCCTGATATCTAAAGTCATAGTTTAGCACTCAAACCACTACACCATGCTGGCTCTCCAGCATACCAAACTAATAATTGATAAATAAAGCATCATCCATTCAACATGTGCTTCATTAGGTTAGAAGTTCTCATTTGTTCCACTATCCAACAAAGTGCTCTGAATTTTTGTTTTATACTGGTGGATTTGGAGCTGAAAATATTATTTAAAATGATACCTTTTTTTTTTTTTTTTTTGCAAGGAAGACTTACATTCATTTGTATGCATAAAAGGTGCTTTACTTCTCTCTTCTTTTTCATTTGCATCCCTTTCATCATCATCCTTCCTTCACTTTCAAAAGTAACACTTTATAATCTACAGGCAGAACGTAAAACTCTTCATAACTTCTGAGAGCAAGGCCATGATTCTATCAAGACAAGGCAGTCCAGCACCCTGAGGGTATTCTCTCTGTAAGAGGAAGAATCTGGTTATTGGAGAATTCTATGGCAGATTTCATCAGCATCCTTATTTTAGACTGCAGTCTTTTTCCCCCCCATCTCCACTTGAAGAAGGGCCTAAATAGCCTAAACCACAATATCCTGTCTGATCTTGGAACCTAAGCAGAGTCAGCCATGGCTAGTACTTGGATGGAAAAATACCAATGAATCCCAGGTGCTGTAGGCTATATTTCAGAGGAAGGAATTGGCAAAACCAACTCTAAGTATACTTTGCCTAAGAAAACCCTATGAGATTCATGGGGTCACCAGAAATTGATGGGTGACTTAAAGGCAAATACACACACACACACACACACACACTTGGAGATGCCAGAATTAAACTGTGACCTTCTGCATATCAAATCCCACTGACCCACTGCATAGTTCTGTCCTACAATATACAATGGCTTAATGGCCAAGTTGCCATGCTCCTTGCTCTTGAAAGTCCTTCATCATCAGAAGAAATAGACTTACCAATGGAGGAATCACAGCAGAGGTCTCCTTCTGTTCTGCAGGTCAGTTAGAATAATAGAATCATAGAGTTGGAAGAGACCACAAGGGCCATCGAGTCCAACCCCCTGCCATGCAGGAAATCACAATCAAAGCATCCCTGACAGATGGCCATCCAGCCTCTCAAAGAAGGAGACTCCACCATCTCCGAGGGAGTTGTTCCACTGTTAAACAGCTCTTAATGTCAGGAAGCTCCTCCTAATGTTGAAGTGGAATCTCTTTTTCTGCAGCTCACATCCATTGTTCCATGTTCTAGTCTCTGGAGCAGCAGAGTAGGGAGATGAACTGGTGGAAAACCTCACCAGGCCAAGAAAAAGGCACTGGCTCAGATGTCTGGCCCAGACGATTCCCTGCAGACGAAATGAGAGGCTATAATGGATGCATTATGAGGAGCACATCTGTGGAATGTTCTCCTTAAATACTGCCTGGGATCTGAGCATTGATTGAATGTGCCATCTATAAAAATCAGCTACAAATTACCAGCTACCTTGCTGAAAACAGCTTCCGTGTGTCCTCTTCAAATGCTTTACCCGTGAAGGTCCCTCTGATGGTTTTATGATCCCTAGTGACTACTCCCTGGAATCCTGGCTCTGATTTACAGCTTTCTTGACCCTGGACTATTTGACACTAGTTATCTATTGCCTCTGATGACTGTTTCTGACTCTTGGCTTCCTATGATCAGGATTCTGAACTTCTGAACTTCATTTGCTGTTAAGATCAGGATACAAGTAGTTGTTACTATTTCCTTGTCTCTACACCACTTATTATCTGCTGCCTGAATCTACTGCCTCATTTTGCCTCAAGGCAGGGCCAGTCATAATTATCTACAATGACTTACATCTCTTGGAGGTACCAGAAAACATTTTTATGGTCCTATTTACAGATACTATGGTTCTGTACTTGGGGCCTTTTGCATGCAAAGCTTGCACTCTACCATGGAACCAAAGTTGCTGGGTTCATTGGGATCCTATCTACTGGTTTTACTGAATTTTGCATTTCCTGAAATATCAGCATACTCCCCAACATTTCATGGATGAAAATAGGGACATGTGTGGCCATGCAACTTCAGAGTGTGGTCGAGATGGCAAAGATATTACTGAAGAAGAGTACACAAGTTAGGAGAGGATGCAGCAGTTTGTTTTTGCCTGAATCTACAGGGAAGGGCAAGATTCTGCCCTTCCTCTTCTCTGCCCCCTGTTAATTCAAGTGCAAACTACTTTTTCACTTTGAGCTTAGTTTGCAGCAATTGAAGTAAGCTGAGGATTAAAGGGGAAAGTGGAAGGAAGAGAAAGAAACTAGAACATTTTTAAAAGAGCTGAAAATGTGGGATCATAAAGAATTAATCTGTACTATCACTGCCAGATTGAGACAGTTGGAGGGTATGTACCAGTTGCTCAATGATATTCAAAGGGTTAGTCTGTTTTAGCATAAAAAGAAATGAGCATAAAGGAATCCAGCAGCACCTTTGAGACTAATTGGAAAGAAGATATTTATTTCTAGTATAAATGCTAGAAATCAGACACATCTAATGAAGCACACTATATGTCCATCGAAACCTATGCTAGAAATTGCTTCTTCCCAGTGAGTCTCAAAAGTGGCTCAATGGACGTTATCACACGTGGGCCCGAAA